ATATTCAATGACTAAAGATTATTGTTCCTTGATTCCTTGCACTATCAGTGAAGTACACTGGGGGGCGCAGTTGCCATCACCTAAAGCTGGCTTCTCATTACCATGAGTGCCACTACCCCAGCCAACTCCAGTCAAGACAGGTGACACACCTGGAGGAGTCCACGAAGCTGCCCAGTGTGAAATATTTCAGAAACAGATTTACTACTGAATTTCAGATTTTAAATTTCTCGTATCTGGTTAATTGAACATAGTGTACCTCTCTTTGTAACGTAAACTTTTCTTTTTACTTCTCCCACTCAAAGGCTTTTTATTTACACTGATCTGAATTTATATCTTAGAGTAAATTTTTCTAGATTAAGTGTTGCTTCATCTGGCAGGTAATGTGTTGGTCACATTATCAGTTAATATACTTTAGAAACTTCTGGCCTGAGATCTCTCTGTCTCTGTATCTCTCTTCTCTCTTCTCCCTCACCACTCCCTTTCTTTTAGATTTTACTATATTTTAATTTCTTTTAATTTTAGAATTCAATAAATGGCATAAAGAGAATATAGAGAGTTGCCATATACCTCTCGCCTAGTTTACCGTAAGATTACATCTTATATTACTGGTAGATTTGTTAAAACTAAGACATTAACATTAGCATCTGCTCAAAGTTTTCATCCAATTTATCATACGGCATTTAGTTTGTTTCTCTTCAGTTTTCTCTGATCTGTTTTCATGATCTTGATAATTGCAAACAGTATTGGTCAGATGTTGTAAAATGTCCATCATTTCAGGTTAGTCTGATGTTTCTTTCATGAGTGGTTTGCTGTGTGGATCGGAAGGGAGAATACCATATGCAAACCCTCCCATCCATCATCTCAGAAGCCCGTGACACCCACAAGACTTACCACTGATGGCATTAAACGTGATCTCTTGGTGAAGTGTGGGAGGCCATCCTCACATGAGAGGCGCTTAGACACAGCTGTGTCAGAGCTTTCCCCATCCTTCTCAGGTCTGAGAGCTTGTCCGTGTGGAGGCGTGCCTGGCCACTGCCCCGAAGACCCAATTGTCACTTCTGACCTTGAGATGCTGCCCCCCTTAATCTTCATTGGATGGGATTTTCCCACTCCCTAGCGTGCTCTCCCTCTCTCACTAGTCTCTTCTGTAAACTTCGCCACCACATTAGGTGGCTGGAGGCGGGAGCTAGGAGAAGCCGTCCCAGAGCTGGTATTAAAGGTAATGAGAGTTTCACTCATGAATGGAACCTTCTTTAATGAAGCCAGCGCTGGTTGCTGGGCAGAGTGAAGGTTCTATATGCTAGCTATTTCCACTGTAAAGTTATTTTTCCCTTTGCACAAAGGCCAGCCCACATTAAACTTCATGTCTTGGATTAGATTTCTGTAACAAAGATGTAGTCTTGTTTTCTTGTTTTTAATATATTCATAATTTACTTATATCTGGGAAGACTAATACATATTTATTTTCTACTTCGGGTTTTTCCTGGGTATTATACCATCTGTAAGCCACCTTTTCGCCTGACCATATTAGTGACTAACTTCTCTTTCTCTGTTTATCCATTTCCCTAATTTTCCCGTGCACACTGATTCCCCAAGCCTTGGCCTGAATTCAGCTCTACAGTCATCTCTATCCTTGTTATGACACTGTGTGAGAAACTTTCTATAGGAATTGAAACGATAGTGTTAACTAAATTGTTTTTCTCTCTATGGATACAACTAGAGCGGGAAGACCAATTCCAGGATTTTTTGCTCTCCATATCTGTGAAATGAAAACTTCACAAAGAGTCAGTGTGAAGATTAAGTGAGGAATTCAGTGAAGATCACAGAAGAAACATTTAACAATCATGGGCTGCTAGTACCACTAGAACTAGATCCTCATCACAGACGAGCTCAGTAACTCCAGGAAACACTGATGCCAACCTCGTAATGTGTGATATACCTGAAGGTGCTGATCACTTTCATCTGCTTCTTAGATTACTAAATCTTTAAACTTTCCAGGTCTTGATCCTAATAAATTTTGGCTTTTGGGGGGAAGGAATCCACAAAATTTTAAAGATATTTTGTTTGACTTAATAATAGTTGTATTAATTATGGAGTACATTGAAACATCTCAATACATGAATGCATTGTGGCATTTAAAAATTAGATTAATCAATATATTGATGGGCTGGGGTTATAGCTCAGTGATGGAGCACTTACTAGCACATGTGAGGCACTGGGTTCGATGCTCAGTACCACATAAAAATGTATTTATTTATAAAAATAAATAAATAAAGGTATTGTGTCCATCTACAACTAAAAAATATTTTTTTAAAAAGAAATAAATTAAAATATTCAAAATATATTCATCACCTCACATATTTATAGTTTTCTTTCTTGTTTATTTATCTATTTGTTTTTACTGGGGATTAAACCCAGGGAGGCTTTTAAGCACTATGTTATTGACTTATAATAGCGGTTAAAATTTCACATTTGGCCATGGTGAATAATATTATTTGGGGAAAACTTTTTTACTGAGTAAAACTAGTAAAGACAGATTTTGAAAAACATCATCTATTTTGAAATATCTGAGAGCCATCAAGACAGTGAGGGATTAGAGGTCCATGATTCAAGAAAGGAAAGAAGTCCTAAGGAAAAGCCTGGCATCCGGAACCACATTTCTTCATCTACAGGAATCTGGGAATTCCAAAAGCACAGCAGAGAGGGGCAAGGCTGAGCAGAACTTTCTGCAGGGCCTTGGGACCCAGGAGAAAATAACTAGAATGTGGAGCCTACATAGAAGACACACAATGGTCAATACATTCAGTATGAGGTTGCAACCCTAAAACCGTATATCCTCAATCCCTAGGCCCTAGGACTAAGGTGAATCATCAGTAGAAAAATAAATAAATAAAGCAGCCCTAATAAGTGATTAAAAATCCAAATTTGAATAATTTCACTTCCCGATCTGATGAAAAGCAACAAGCATTGCTAGTCCCCAACCCTGTAAGGCTGAACAATTGAAAGGACAAATAAATAAAATAAATAAATATTTACTCTTTGCCATATTTAAATTCTGTTTAGATTTTTAAATTAACGTAGAACAAAAATTTAAATATCTAACAACCATAAGACATAGTCAGAAGAAGGAAAAATGGAATTAAAAGTGTTCTGCCATTGAGCTAGCAGGAAGTCAGGAAGCACTAAAATATAAATGTCTATTAAAATTTAACATTTAGGATTGTGTAAAACTTTCTAAGATGGCCAATTAAAATGCTAAAAGATTATGAAATCAATAAGTTAAGTAATGAGAAGATGCTGTAGTTAGGAATACTTAATCCGAAATAGGCAGAACAGGGTCAGAAAAAGAGGGATAAAATAGCAAAATGGTAGATGGCAAGTTAATTAGTTAGTTAATTAATTAATTTATTTATTTATTCTGGGGATTGATCCTAAAGGTGCTTAACTACTTACCCGCATCCTCAGCCCTTTTAATTTGCTTATTAATTGATTGATTTTTTTTTTTTTGAGACAAGTTCTCACTAAGTTGCTCAGCCTCCTTAGTTACTGGCACTACATGTGTGCAGCACCACACCCATCCAGAGTAGATGGTAGATTTAAAACTGAATATATCAGTAATTTCATTAATGACAATTAATTTCATTAATTGTCTAAGTGAATAGAAAGCAACATACCTATATT